GTAACTACTGCACAAACTGAATCTGTGTCCAGTTTCGAAATGAGACTTTATTTGACAGTTGACATTGCAGAGAGAGAAAGGGACAGAAGAAACTGACAATGAAAGAAATGACGTGTGACAAAAGATTAAAAATCAGGCTGCTATGGGGACATTTAAATTGCTTTGGCCAACTGAACCACCAGGATACCTGTTCAAATGTTATGATACTTTAAACAAAATCTCACTGCGGCCACATTGTGTGGCCTAATTTCACTACATAGTTAATCTGAAAGGAAAGGGATGATGTTTGTATTCTGTTAGCAGCAACAGCCAAAATACTACTGTAACAAAGGAGAGATTAAAAGACATTTGTTTCCCCTCAATGGAGCTCCTGACTGGAGACAACCACTGTGACAATAGGGCCATGTTGAAGTTAATGCAGACTAATACGAAACGAAACAACTTCTTTTTTTCTTTTGTCTTCCTTGCACACACACAGTCGCTGTTCTTAACCACAGTCTTTTTGAAAATACACAAGTAGCACAGTTCTTTCTTTTAGTAATGTGGAAACAGCATTTACAAATTGCAACCTCTGATTTGGGGTTCAGTTACTGGCACAAGTGACCTTTGGGAAAGAAAATGAAAATGATTTCAAAACACAATGTGGTTGGAAAATGGTTTAACCAAACAATTTTATAATTCATCTATATGGATGAATTATAAAAAAGTCTAAGAACTGTGCCATTAAAGCGTGTCAAACACCCAGTACTGAACTACCCCACCTATTTAATCTTCTATAAAAGGTGAGTAATAATCTGAAATATGGGGTGTGTAAGCTTTGTAAGAGCTTAGGGCCCACCTAAAGACATCTTCAGTTTTACTTTAAATCTGATAAAACCTTTACAAAAATTTGACTTAACTCAAGATTATCACTATTATGTGACTCATTTGCTTTGTGGAACGTATTAAACGTAACTTTTATGCAGCCCCATCAGGGTTTTGTGGTCTGTTGACCTGCTGTTTTGTAGGTTACTATTACTTACAGCTTCACGGATGCAGAGTTTCTTTAGCTCCAGGATGCAGATCTCCAGCCGGTCTTGGAGAGCCTGGTGTTTGAGCTTCATGGCCCGCGTGTGGGTGGTCACATCCTTTGTATGCGTCGTTGGGCTGTCAGAACCTGTCATGTAACAGGAGAGAGGCAAATGGACAAGACCAGGAAATAAATGAGGTTACTACATGAAATGAAAACAGCAAAAAAAAAGAAAGATTTTCAGTAGCATATTTCATACTAAAAAGAAATACATAATGATAAAATAAAAAACAAAGCAAATTAAGACTTCAGCTAATGACTTTCAGCACTGTTTAATTTCCTATTTTACTTTGGTTCAGTGATTTACAGTTTATTATGCTTTATAAGTTGTACAAAAGCCTAAAAGACAACAAACCTCAACACTGAAGCAACTGGAACCAGCAATTTTTTTAATGTTTATTTGATAAACTACTTAAGTCATTAACTTATTATATACAGAAACAAGTAGCCATTAATGACTGACTGATTTCTTCATCAGTTTTGACACAAAAGATAGATAACTCCACAGTACATACACAGCGCCCTGAGTTGCCAGTTCACTGGGAAAACTTAACTGAATTGTATGCAATTCAATACAATAGCCCTGGAATAAATCCTGCACTTAAGTTGTTGACATTGTGTCACAGGGTTGTTGATTTGACTCAGGACATTTTAGAGGCTGATGTTTGTTGAAGTGAACTGCATTCAAGTGAAAGGTATTTTAGTATTGCAGCTCAGTGTAGATATGTGCATAATGTGTGTGAACAACAATCATGTAGTTTTCACACACAACCACAAAAATACGTATGAATAAAACAAAAAAGCTACCATAATGTGCAAGATGAAGGCAATTTGGAGGTCTGCTTATAAATGTATTGCTCTCGTATACATCATTTTAAGTCATATGTGGCCTAAAGGTTAGAGATGTGGATCTGGGGCCAAAAGGATACCGGTTTAGTCACTGGGCCGACACAATGGGGTCGGGTATAAGTGACCTCCCCTCATTAGCAACACTGAGGTGCCCCTAATCTATAAAGTGCTGCTGCTCAGTAGCAAACAGAGCCGCCTGTGGCTGTTCTACTCAGCTTGTAGGTGTGAGGGTGTGTGTTTAATCATTTATCAGTTTCATGATTGGACAATAAAATGAAATGAATGCATTAAAAAAAATCAAAACATAATGACTATGTCCTGACATGGTATGGAGTACAAACTACTACTCTGCATTATGGTTGACTGTTTACTCTTCAGTTGAAAACATCCTTGGTGTGGTGCCATCTCCTAAATCATGTGTGAAGGTCCATACATTACCTTAATTCTAAAGTAAACTTCCATTATATTAAAATTAACTATAGACTGTGCTACGGTGAACACAATGAACAATTTGACAGAAACTGCAGAATGAGTGTCAGGACCTTGGCAACCACACACAGCGTGTGAGCGATTGACTGGTGCCGCCTGTAGCCTTGGTGACTAATGACATTAAGATTAGTAGCAGAGCTGCGTGAGTGGCTTCAGGCAAAATGCAGCGAGGACCACATACCTTCAGAGATTATTAACAGAAACCATATAGGTACCAACAAACATCTGAGGTGTGACAAGAAGGAAGTGTGACGGTGCTACAATGAGGCGAAGAATTCCTCTTCCTACAGCGACAATCCCCCTATTGTTTGTGCTGACACACTCTCATTGCATAGAGCAGACATCACGTGGCTCAATTAATGCACAAGGAATGTCAGAGAGGCCAGAACAAATCAGTGCACACTACTGAGTGTAACAAAAACTAAACTGAAGTCAGTCTAAGCATATGAGACAAAGAAGTCAAGAAACTGCTTTTAATAATGTTGACTGTGGAAACCCCAAATACAAACAGTAACTTCATTAAGGCTGTAATTAACCATTATTTTTATTATCAGTTATTTCTTGTTTAATGTTTAATCAATTCACTGTTCCGTCAAAAATATCAGAAAAAAGTGAAAGCAGGAAATACCCATTACACTGAGAAGCTGGAACCCCAGTTTGGGCAGTCATGCTTAAAAAAAAACATTTCAGCTCATATTCACAAATGTTAAACCAGTAAAAGGGCTAAATTTTTCTACTGAATAAAATCTTTAATCTGGTTTATTCATTGTCTTACCATTAGCTTGCATTTCAGAACAAATATCAATCACACAAATTCATCACTTTTATTAACATATTGTGCATAACGTGCCTCGTGTCACACAGGATACAGCGGCTAATTGTTATTTAAAACAAATTCAACTAGGTGTGTGGGGTGCAGAGCGGATAGAATTATGTAGATCATTTTATTGAGAAGGTGATTAAGATCTGTGCTGCCTTAATAAATAAATCAATGCTTGTTTAGACCAAGTGTAATGCTTTGAAAAGATGCAAGTTTGCTAAATATTGGGTGAAGCGCAAGTGTGACTTCTTTGCAGCCAATAAAAGGAGGGAAGATTTATGCTATGAACAGTGTCTGGCTTTAGCTGCCTTGTCTTCTTTTTAGCTGTGAAGAACAAAACAGGTCGACAGAAGTAAATTGTGTCACTGGCAGAAAGACTTGAAACAAGACATACTTGAAATAGTAAAGATGCTGGTTATTTAGGAGGAACGGCGCCATCACATGACATAACTCCAAATAAAAGAATCAATAAGTCAAATTATTTATGGTTGTCAACAAGGACATGTTAAGAGATAAATTGACAGACAAATGTAATGATGATGATGATGTTTATCATTACTTATCATCTGACATTTTGTTTGCACAAGGGTCTGCAATGTAATCGGTGATTACATTTATGGCTGGACTTAAGTGGGGATTTCGTACGTGTCCTCTGTTTGAGGTTATGAGAAAGCAGGTGCTGAGATACGATTACCTTGGGCTGGACTAGGCTAATGTGTGCGCTTAGCTTCAGCACCAATTAGGGCCACCAGCAAAAGCGGCTAAGGAGCTCAATGTTTTTGCTTTTAAACAAATGTGTCAAGGGTGTCAGTCTCTCATAAACCTGGAAAGTATTTAAGTGCCAATAGTCAAAGAACATTTTGAAAACCTGCTTATAAAACTTCTGAAATGAGGCTCAATTAAAATCCACTTTATTTTCACGTGAATTAAAACAATTAAATGAGGCTACCCAGTGCTCCTCAGCAAGATGTGGGTAACTAACTCAAGGAAAATGTGCAGTTTGTTTTCTGCTCATTTCAGTTCCCGTGATGTCGGCCATCATCAACAATGTACATTGCTAACAGTAAACATTTAATGTAGTCAAAAAGCAGACCTCAGAAATACAGCGATCATATTGTGTTACACCAGTTTTGCTGAGCACTTGTTTGAGTTGTTTTGCATTGACACAAACTGAGAAACATTTTGAAACACAACCATAATGATCAAATGTAACATCATGTTGCAGTGGCATTAGTGGACAGACTTTAGGCAACAGAAAAATACACCATGAATGTGCATTTGTCCCCCTAATACAATAAAGTTAGGACAGTTTTGAAGGGACACATTTCAAAAATGCCTGAGAAAATGTTTTACCTGAATGAAGGATGATGCCACTGTCAGTGTCACTGATCTCTCCGTTGCCTTCCATGTAGGTCAGCTTCCTGTTACTCTTCAGTCGAGGCAAAAGATAATGTCACGGCTCACCATGTCCTGTAAAGTACGATTTAGAGTTATAGCAGACATTACTGGGTTCAAGTTTTTTTTAAGTTTACATAAGGCTGAATTTTAAAAAAAAGTCAGGGATATTTTGTTTCTCTTTGTGGCCAATTAAATGAATCAAACCTAATGGTGATGATGGTGGATAATTTTCGTCTAAATATAGTCTAAAATATTAACACGAGCTGGAGGACACACCCAACACAAAAGGATTCAACTGAATTCTTCCAAAGAAAACAAGGTTTGCCAAGATTTCATTCAGCATTGTTTAATAAAGCCATCATTGTGTTGTGTTTGTAGAACTTCAGAAGACCAAAGTTCATACAGGGTGAGGGAAATGTTAAAAACAAAAAAAACACCTGAATGTAGTATATGATTGCAAGCAATGGTATCCTACAAAGAAAAGCAAGAGGTGAGTTGTCAAAATCCACAGTCTAAAACCAAGCCTAAGGCCGAACAGAATTAACACAGGCTTTTCAAAAACTGCCCATTACTTAATCTTGTGACCTTTTGCTCAGTGACTCAGGTGTGTCTTGCCTCTTGACCCCACAGTCAAGTAGTCATAGCCTCCTACAGCATGAGTACATATGCATGTTACCAAGTCTAGGGTGTTTCCTGTGACTCCCTGTTTGTCACTCTATGATGTCATATGATCCTCGTCATCTCATTCGTTCTGATAAGCGGCTCAGGACACATGGGCCATATACACTGCTGGTGTCTAATAAAAACTGAGGCTTGTTGGTTTGATTATTAACTTGAGTGACTAGAGGAATGTGGTGGTGATTGCGTTCCAGCGCACAAGGAGGTTATCCTCAGTGATGGATAGGAAGCTGCTCACTGCTCAGTGCTCAGTGTTCAAGTTACAGGGTTTCTACATATAGGAACCTATGTCCCCCATTTTCCTCATAAATATGGCATGAACATGATACATTCTCCACACAGCTCACATGCCTATGACTGGACTTTTAACACCTACACATTACAGGCTGCTCTGCTTGCACAATTAAAGTGAAACTGCTCATGCACAGCAAACAAAAAAATAAGATAATAAAGCACAGCACTGACACAGTATCCACTGACAGACTTGGAAAACAACAAATAATTACTACAAAAATACCTTTAGGTTGGAATCACTGTATAATCGCCATTCTGTCTGATATATCCTTAAATGATTTATCATCAACTATCAAACGGTTCCAGATTTCAGTGTTCTGTTCACGTCAGTCACACTAATCGACCGATCAACTAAAACAAAACTAAAACCAATGAATATGATGATTTAATACTATAATTCAAGAGCTGGGCTGTATCCAGTCATATGTCTGGGAGTAATTTTAGCTTTCAGTTTCCCATTATTTGGTTCGTCTTCTGCTAATCATTGAAATACCTGAAAAACCCATAGGCTCTCATCCTTCCACTGCACGACAGGAGCTATGTTTTAAAGGGATGACCAAAACTACTCAAGTATTTTAAATGCGCAGTCTCTCGTCATCAAAACAAAACAGTATGAAAAGTGTTATAATGAGCTATAAACTGCTCAAATGCTTTGTCATACATTTTATCTGTGTTAAAACACTTCTGTATGTCAGTCTATGACAAACGGTGCCAACAACAGTGGCCAAGGTATAAATGATTACATATACAAGTCCAAACACTTAGGAATGGGCATTTCTTTGGGGCACTAGTTTAGAGAAATCATACACACACACATACAAAAAACGGATGAGATGTTCCTACAATGAAGCTGCTAAGAAAGTGAACCATAAAACACTAGCTGAAGGCGTTTCCCCACTCTTTTAAATCAACCGCCAGAATAAGCAAGACAAACAAAACAATCAAACCAACACGGACATAGTTTGTGTAAAGTCATAAATATCTCAAGATGAAATATTTCACTTAAAAATGCTGTTAGCACAATGACAGCCAATCCACATTCATCCAAATCCATTTACCCAGAAGACACTAGGTAAAATAAAAAAGACATACGCAACATGAAAAACTAGCAGCATATATAAAATCTACTTACTTATGGAGAAACTTAGAAAAACTGCCAATATCCAAGGAGTGATTACTTCCCGACATGAAGCCGTGTGGAGTCTGGACAAGAATGAGAGCGCCCAGCCCACTAATAGAGCACTGCCCACTGAAAAGGAGTGGCCTCTCGCAGAGTGTGTCAACAGCAATGGTGAGAAATTACGCTTCACTTTACCCTCTTAGTCTCATTACAAAAGCTACATAACATAAAGAGAATAAATAAAGTATGACTAAGGACCCAGGAGAAGCAACAACTCACAAGTTAGTTGAAACACAATTGGCAGCAGTTTTGGTGACTGATTAACTGTGCAAAAGTGCCAAAAGTTTAGCTGGTTCCAGCTTCTCTTACCTAATATGACAGGAAATTAACCTTCCGAGTGGTGAAATGTCTTTTAGACATCATCTTCTGATCTGGATATGTATGATTGGTATTTTATTATCACTAGATCATAAGATTTTATAGGTCAAACAATTAAACTGAATAATGAACTATGTTTTGCACAAATCAATCAGTAATAAAAATATTCATTAACTGTAGTCATTATCATACTGTAATTTCTCACACTGCTAACAGCAAATCAATGCTGACTACTATGAAAATTCTGCTCTGCATGTTCAAAGATCAAATATCCGGTCAATGCGTGACTGCTGCCATCTCCTGGCTGTTTAACAGGTTAGAAAATCCATAGCCAATTATGAATTTACTAATCCTCTATCTTAGATTTTCATTGGCCTCTGACGTTTCACCACCTCTCTACCTACAGCCACACTGCCAAAGCCGAGGCCCGTCGTTTTTGCTTCCAATAAAAAGAAGGAAACAAATGGTGATAGGATAGGCCACATGATTTACAGAAACCCAGAGGCAGCACCTGCTCTGTAACTGCATGGCTCACATTCATTCTGAATCTCAATATTCATTATGGCTTTTTGGAATGTTGGTGCTCCCACGCTCTGAAGAAAGGCCCAGCAATTCCCAGACGCTCAAGAATTTGATCTCAGATGACATGGCACCCAGAAAGCAGCAGCTACAGGACAAAAGCAGCAGATATCCGGTTCGGTAACTTCGACATGTAGGTTTCACAGTATGAACACTTGTGATCCCATCATCAAGTGGTCTCAGCAACAACACAAGGTACAAATAGACATGTCCTCTATGAACTGTATATGCTGAGTTTCCCACACTCTAGTTCGACATGCCAACCACCGAAGTCCCCTGACAAATCTGCACAGTCAGAGCTGTTTTAAAGTAAGAGGACTTGACAACTAAACCTAGTTGACACAATGTAGATGTGCAGTATCATGTCACAAAACTGCAATATGAACCTTTATTATACCAACGACACTACCAATCAAAGGTCTGGAAACACTTTCTCATTCAGTTCAATGGGAACATTTGACTGGTAGTTTAAAACCTTTTTCTAATCAAGTGATTTATCTGTGTGAAAATACTCCTGTTGTGTGTTATATTGACAAAAAATGTTCCATTTCTGAATAGATGTTGCATATTTTCACATTTGCGTATTTTTCAGTTCTCTCAACAAAAACACAAGATGTGAGTACAGACATATCAATTCTCTTTTAACTGGTGATACCGGTTAAAGTAGGGCAAGAGACACTGCACAACAAGTTTAAATTACTTAAACCTCAGGTTATTCATTAACCTGTAGGTTAATAAAATATTTACCGTAATGCTGGACCTAGAGAAAGTGCATCATTTGGACCTTACATGGGTAGCATTTGATTTTCTACTCTACCATCACCTTTACTAAAATGATGGAGAGAAATGTTTAAAGAACAAAATCACAATACAATTTATTCGAAGTAACTGAAACTAATGAGATATAATACCTCAGTCTTCAAGTGATGATGGCGTTTATATCAATGGGGGACTGCTAAATAACAGAAACACCTCTTTGTGTAATGCAGTACAGTTCAACAGCGGCACCAGCAGCAGCCTCCTAAATTATCACAAAGTTGAATCAACACCTCTCTAAAACAGTTTCACCAAAAACTGAACATTACCACATTCATGAAGAGGATTTATAGCAGGGCTGTTATATTAGACTACAGTAGTTTTAGCTAGGTGTACCTAATAAAGTGGCCACTGATGCAAGGAAAGGCTGAAGGAAGGGTAAACACCTACCAGTGGCCAGCACTTGAATGGTTAATAGAAAAGAGCAACAGCAGCGCCCTGTGTAAACAGGCAGCATAAATACCAGCCTGGTAACCCAAGATCAGATATAAGGGAAGTGTAGTCATGTGAGTGAATAACAATCTCTTCTGTTCATGGGAAAACTACAGTCAGGAGGTCGGTGTTGTAACAGCCACAGTGACAGAGATCTCAATTAGAGAGAAATGCTCAGAGACATTTCACAATCTGGTTAGTGTGACGAGTTGGAGGGAAACCTGTCATATCACAAACTACCTCTATCTACATTATCTATAATGTAGTTACAGTGACTGTGCAGTGAAGTCCATCATGCTTGATGTGAAAACTATTTAAACAACTTCCCACTTACACTCCTGTACAACACAGACTTCCATCCTGCGTTGAAGCGGCCAGTTGCTGAGTGTCGTGGCTAGTTTATATAAACTAGAAGTCCCCGAGAGACAGGGAGAGGGCTTTGTCTAGGCAACACAGCAGCTGGCACAACAAATTCTTTAAATATTCCTGCCCCCTTTTATAAATGTACAGCTACACACTACTCCTGCTAATGTGTGGAGCCATCTGCTGCCAGGGGATCAAACATTTTCCCTGAAGATTTTACAACCTGCTTCTTTCGCCAAGTGCTAGCTGATCATTTAATTATGCTTAAATCGAGGTGGTGTCATTAAAGAGTGCTACTAATGTGCTACAAATCCTGCAGCCTTAAAAGGCCAACAGAGCAACTGCTGAAGCAGCTGGGCTCCCTCCCACTTCTCTCTACCTGCAGTCAACATTAAGCTTTGTGTTGCCTAAAGGACAGTGAACGCATCAACAGCTTTTCACAGACAGAATTTATACCTAAATCTTTGCCAACTAGCTTTAAAATCTGACCGTTCGACATTGTCTGATAGTATTATACACTTAATTGGCAGTTTATTAGGTACGCCCAGCTAAAAGGAGGGTGTGGTTTGTGCTGCTGCATTATACAGAGAGGGGTCTCTTTATCCTATAGCCTCACTGATAGAGATGAGGTAGACAAAATAACACCAGGCAGTATAAGACAACAAACTGAACATATCACCTAGGGAGGATTTATTGCAGGACTGTTGTTAGATAAACCACCACACTCATCACAATACGATCCTATACTATTCTCTTTGCCCATGATCTGATGTTTGCTGATACTTAAAAATATGCCACGATGCGATTTTGATTTGAGTTGATTCAGGGGCCCGTGATCGATATCAAGTGATATTATCTGCCTATTTCACACAATTACATTTTTTATTAACTAGAATATAACAGAAGAATAATTTAAATACTTTACTGAGCTTCTCTGTTTATGTTCAAGTGTTATTTAAATACAAATAAGGACCAAAACTGGAAAAAAAACATATTTCCTACATTGTAGTAGGAGAACTGTTTCAAATTTAACAGTCACACTTCCTACTGTGTGTGACCTGTTTAACCCAGAACACTTCCATACCCACGACTTGTTTCTGATGAGAGAGTTTACTTTATCTGTGTATTTTTCTCTGCTGCTACAGGTCAAGGCCAATTGTCACAGAAAGCATTTTGTCAATTGTCCCTCACGGAGGTCAGAGTTGGTGTGGACTGAATGGATCAAACACTTCAGTAGCTTATGCAGTGCTCTCACTTAGTATGAGTTCCCAGTCTCAGTATGCTAGCTGCACTGCCTGCCGCTTTTTGTCCATTCTGAAAAGAGGCTTGCTTCACCGGAAATGCGTACATATGTGGCTGGCTGTCAAAATAAAAGCACACAAAGCATCGATGTATACGTTTTGCATCAATGTCATCAGATCACAGGTTGTTTGATCAATGTATTGATCCATATCAATGTAACGTAACAACCCAACAACTATAAGTAACTTTTCACTGGGTGTAAGGAATAAACTGCCAACTGTGTGCATATTCTCTATCAGCTTGTTCGAACAATTCACTGAAGCTATATAATGTTTGCACTGAGGGAAATATTCAAAACTCGATTTCTTTATAGCTACATCTATTGATATACTTATTAAAATGACTGGCAGTGGTGTAAAGTAACCAAGTACATTTATTTAAGTACAATTTTGAGGTATTACTTCAGTATTACTTGAATATTTTCATTTTCTGTTATATCATACTTTGGCTTCACTACATTTTAGAGGCAAATATTGTACTTTTTACTCCACTACATTTATTTTATTACTTTAGTTACTAGTTACTTTTCATAACCAAATAATACAAAATACAGTACAATTATAAGAATTCATTGATCTATGGTAGAACATCCACAAGCTACTTCTGTGCTCTTGTCCCCTGGTCAACACTCAGGAATGTGTAGATTGTGGAAATACTTCACTGCACAGAAATCACAAAGTAACTCAAATTTAAAAGCTAAATAATTCCATTCAATCTTCAATATGCCCCTTATTAACCATTTTGTAAATTATGTCAACAACATAAAGCAGGTATACCATTCAGATACCATTATATAACTGGTAAATATGGCAGCATGCAAGACAGCAACACATCTGAATTTCATTGTTCCTCTTGGATGATTTCTTTAAAGTTCTGTACTGTTTCGTTTAAAGAGGATGTTGATACCTCGTTACTTCTGTGCTGGTCAGTGCAGTTAGATATCTTTACACAGCTTATGGTAAACCTTTAAACTCAATTTACAAACAATTAACAAATGTATTTTAAAAAAAGTCAGGGCCTGTCCATGAAACCCAGGGTTATAACAGAAAGAAAGAGCCATAAAATAAACTCAGCGTTCAGTGTCCTAGGACATTACAACTTAAAAACCATCTTTATTTCAGACCTCCATGTTAAAGGTACTGGGTACATCTGTAATGGTTGTTACCTTACAATAATTAATATACACCTGAAACTTCCAAGTATGCCAATGCACTACGTTTTACACAATAAAGACAGCAAATACAACATGACCAAAGTCTGGTCCAAGCGTCAGGTATAAAATCTCTCTTGGGTATTTATTATGTTGTGATATTTAACCACCTTTCCATCCACCCGCTCAGGCAGCTTCATACAGCTGCAGGGCCTCAACTTTGAACAGTTTAGCAAAGTTTAAAAGTCATTTTAGTTGTTAAGCCTTTTCCCAAAGCTTTCACTGTCTGGTTGCAGTTACTTCTTTTCAAAAAAACAGCAAGATAGGTAGCACTAAAAACAACCCACTGCGCATGCATACAAAATTTGCTAAACAAAACTTCTGCCATTTCATTTGTGCTCTTACCTTAGCAGCTAGTTAGCCTGCTAGCATCATGCCTCATCTGTATCCATGCAATCTGTGCTCCACTGGCTCACAGCCTCCCAGATTTAAGTTGGAGGTTTTCTTGTTACATTGCCAAAAGAGTCCTTACATTATGCCCCTGTACTCTAAACAAGTAAACAAACTGAAACACACGCCTTAAACCTCAAGCCTTACTGCCCAAACAAACTTTTGCTAGAATCTACCTTCTTCTTGAACTCAGTAAAGTACAGCAACGCTGTGCTGCCTTCAGGTGGTGTCGAATAAATGAAAGTTACTGACTATACGTGACATAGCGGCAATGCGTAGACGTGAAGCTGACCAAATCATAGACCACTATTATGGTGAAAGAGGTCATGTCAGTGTAGTCATTTAACAACTTCATGAATGTTATATTTTAGGCTCATGTCTTATATTATTTTCTCATTTATGTTCTTCTGCTGTAGGGTAGAATGGCGATGTCCCACCAGATTAAAACTAAATAGACAGCATTTAATAAATCTTCCACGGGGATTAACTGTCAATTAGTGTGCTCTAATGGCACTGTAAAGCGCTCCAAGTTTGAATCAAGAGCTTAAGGAGAAATTACGAGCTTCATATGAGTTTGTGAACACTACCCACTTCTATGCTGTTGTGCGGGCGCTTCACGGCTCATCAGAGATGATGCTATGGGTGGATTGTCCATGCTTGCTGGCTATTTAGCAGGTTTTGACGTCAAAAGTGCTTAAATGCTTTTATACCGTGGCCAAAGTTATATTTTATGACTTAAGAGGTAGGTGTGTTTTGAAGTAGTCCAAAATCAGCATTCTATCCTTTTTGTCACAGTCACTAGAGGTCAGCAGTGCATTACATAGACTTTTCATTTCCAGTATGCCTACACCAGGAGATACATTGTAGCCTTAATGTCCCCCAGACATCACTAAAGGGAACAATTTTTACAGCATCTTACATTATGTGACCACAAACCCCCTTCTGATACAACTTGGCTACAATTAAATACGCCCAACATTTCTTACAGTGGTGGAAAGTAAATAAGTAGGCTACATTTAATCAAATAGCCTAATGTACATAAGTGCAGTTTCAACGTATCTGTACTTTACTTGAGTATTTTCATTTTGTGCTACTTCATACTTTGACTTCACTACATTTTAGGGGCAAATAGTGTACTTTTTTACTCAACTATTTTTATTTTATAACTTTAGCTACTTTTCAGAATCATCCATCCATCCATTATTTACATCGCTTATTCCTGAATAGGGTCGCAAGGGGGGCTGGAGCCAGTTCCAGCGGACATTGGGCAAGAGGTAGGGTGCACCCTGGACAGGTTGCCAGTCTGTCACAGGGCTGACATATAGAGACAGACAAACACACACACTCACACTCACTCCTACGGGCAATTTAGAGTCACCGATCAACCTAAGCTGCATGTCTTTGAACTGTGGGAGGAAGCTGGAGTACCCTGAGTGAACAGGCACAGGGTGAACATACAACTTTTCAGAATCATATTAATAAAAAGCAAATACAGCATAATCATAAGAATGTATTAATCTCCAGTGGAAATTTCAGAAGCTACCCAGCAGTAATTCAAATTCTAACTATATAAACTACTTAAGACTAACTCCTCCTTTACCATCTGCATTAAATGCGATTTACACAATAATCCATCAATAATTATAATCCAATAATATGATATACATTAATGTGAAATGTGTATGAAATGTGTGAGTAATTTTACATTTAGTACTTTAAGTATGTTTTGATGCTAATACTTTTGTAGTTTTACTTAAGTAACCTTTTGAATGCAGGACCTTTACTTGTAATAGAGTATTTATACACTGTGGTATTTCTATGTTTAGCCAAGTACTTCCTCCACCACTGATTTCTTACAGTAGGGAAAAGAATTATTTGATCCCCTGCTGATTTTGTAGGTTTGCCCACTTACAAAGAAATGAAGGGTCTATAATTTTTATCATAGGTTTATTTTAAAGGATAGAGACTGAATAACAACAAAAAATCCCCCAAAAACACAGGATACAAATGTTATAAATTGAGTTGCATTTCAGTGAGTAAAATAAGTATTTGATCCCCTACCAACCAACAACAGTTCTGGCTCCCACAGACTGGGTATGTGCTCATGTGGTGTCCAAATTAGTCCTGTCAGCTTAAGAAGGTGCTCCTAATGACAATTCCTTATGTGTATAAAAGACACCTGTCCACAGAGTTTCTCTATCTTCCATTCAAACCTCACCACCATGGGCAAGACCAAAGAGCTGTCAAAGGAAGTCATGTACAAGATTGTAGACCTGCACAAGGCTGGAATGGGCTACAAGACCATCAGCAAGAAGCTTGGTGAGAAGGAGACAACTGTTGGAGTGGCCATTCACAAATGGAAGAAATACAAACTAACCATCAGTCGCCCTCGGTCTGGAGTTTCATGCAAAATTTCACCTCATGGGGTAAGGATGATCATGAGAAAAGTGAGGGATCACCCTAGAACTACACAGGAGGAGCTTGTGAATGATCTTAAGGCAGTTGGGACCACAGACACCAAACAAACCATTGGTAAAACAGTACGCCACCATGGACTGAAATCCTGCAGCACCGGCAAGGTCCCACTCCTCAAGAAGGCACATCTACAGGCCCATCTGAAGTTTGCCAGTGAACATCTAAAAGATTCAGAGAAGGATTGGGAGAAAGTGCTGTGATCAGATGAGACCAAAATTGAGCTCTTTGGCATGAACTCAACTCGCCGTGTTTTGAGGAAGAAATGCTGGGTATGACCCTAAGAACACCATCCCTACAGTCAAACACAGAGGTGGGAACATTATGCTTTGGGGCTGTTTCTCTGCTAAAGGTACAGGCTGACTTTGTCCCATTGAAGGACCAATGGATGGGGCCATGTATTGTAAAATCTTGGATGAGAACCTCCTTCCCTCAGCCAGGACACTGAAGATGGGTCATGGATGGCTCTTCCAGCATGACAGTGACCCAAAACATACTGCCAAGGTAACAAAGGCGTGGCTCAAGAAGAAGCACATTAAGGTCATGGAGTGGCCTAGCCAGTCTCCAGACCTTAATCCTATAGAAAATCTATGGAGGGGGCTGAAACTTCGAGTTGCCAAGCAACAGCCAAGAAACCTTGAGGATTTAGAGAAGATCTGTAAAGAAAAGTGGACCAAAGTCCCTCCTGAGATGTGCACAAACCCAGCGACCAGCTACAAGAAACATCTTACCTCTGTCTTTGCCAACAAGGGTTTCTCCACCAAGTACTAAGCCATGTTTTGGGGATCAAATACTTATTTTACTCACTGAAATGCAACTTAGTTGATTTTTTGTTGTTATTCAGTCTCTATCCTTTAGAATAGACCTATGATAAAAATTGTAGACCCTTCATTTCTTTGAAAGTGGGCAAACCTACAAAATCAGCAGGGGATCAAATAATTCTTATCCCTACTGTATGTATAAACCAGACATGTCAAACTAACTGGTTGCGCAAAGGGGGCAACTGTAGGGAGAACTGTTCTTTCTGTGGTTCATCTGTATGAATTTCATTTCTGTCTAAAAGAGGATTTTTCAGCAAAAAAACAATGTCATGATGCTTTCTCATCACTATGTTTAATCCTTCACATGTTAATTTCTTAGAAAGAGATACAACTTTAGTATTCAAAAACTTTTAAATATATAACTTTTAAGCCTTCACCTTTGTACAGACCAAGCACAGCTCATGTAGACTTGAACTTATGAAAACCACAGTCAGCCTGATCTGAATGTTGCAACACTGGCATGAGAGGTGTGGATGTTGGTGGTTTAACAGCGAAACATCACCACTGTACAGTGCAACCTTATCTATAAATTCCATCACTTAGACCAACACAATGATGGGAAAAAAAAAACTTCAGATAGGTGGTACTGAGAAAAAAGTATGAATAGCCTAATATACGCAGGAAAAAGCTTTCATACATTATTTTTACCAGCTCCAAGAGTCTAATACTTCAGGTTCTAAAATTCTAAAAAAAGTTGTAATGTCTAATGGTGAAACAACATCGGTGAGAAAAAAATGCTAAAATATCATTTCAGAAGCACAAGTAGGCTAAAGGAGAGTCATTAAGTCAGCTGAGTAATCAAAGAGTCTGTCTAAAGGTTTCTACCATTAGTCCCCACTCGCTGGTCACCAGGCCAAGTATGATGGCTGTAGCAGTGAAATCTTTCAGTACCGAATCAAGTATGTATACATTTTTATTGCTTATGAATTTTGCATTTTTAAGAGGGACATTCTGTTATTTCCTATTCTTACAAAACCTAGCCTCACTTTTCAACAGAAAAGCAAATAAAATATCACGATCTAAATTCAAGACATACAAATTCCATGATGTCAGTATATCAATATAACATAACAAACTATCTGCACCTTTAGCTGAAACTTTAAGCACATTTTGTCATCATGACACTTTTCCTTCTACATTGTTTTAATTTTCCCCTGGAATAGTTGAAGGCAAGTTCACATATCAGGGAGGATGACTCATTTAGTTCTGAAACACTGAGTTCTGAGTTTCATGGTGGTGTTTTCACAGCCCTGTGGTTGTGAGAACATCAGAGGTCTGAAGTCTCACCATAAACATCAATTAAAACAGACAGACAGCTCAAAGTTTGATATGACCAAGTGCCAAGGTCACACCTATCGTTCTGTGTCTGTGTCTGAGAACCATGGTCAAGTTATTTAATAGTCAAAGGAGTTTATGCTTTATATGGTAAATATTTCTTTTAGAATTTAAATTCAAATTTTACTTTTACAATAAAATAAAATATATTAATAATAATTATTCTGCTGGTAAGCATTTAAAGATTACAGAATGTGGATTCAGTATTGAGTGCTATTATGTATTTCTTTAATAACTGTACATTGTGCTAAAATTATAAACCACAAAAAATGTTCACTTTTTATTTAAACACATCAGTTACAGTTCTTTTATTTTAAGAATTCATCTTCACTGTATGAAGGAGCTGATAAAAGCGAGCTAGCATGAAGCCTGTCAGTAACTGATAGTATGTGGTTAACGCTTTTCAGTTCCGTTTTAAATTTACTTGACCTTTAAAATTAGAAGATATTATTTTCCCAGGTCATTCAAACTACACTTCATTTCTGAACCGAGAAACACTGGTCAACTCTGTATAGATAAATCACGAGATACACAAAAACAAAAAGAAATCAGCATGTTTTCTGCATTTTCAGTCAACAGAGCCGATTTGTTGCCCATTACTGTTACTGCATGGTTGGTGTTTTGAGCCCCGACTCCTCCTAACTGCAAAGACATCAAGTGTCGCTGAGAAATTCACTGAACCTCGATAGCCATTGCCAGGTGCTGCACTATTGTGCTGCTGTTTTGTGATTATGTGTAGGTGAAAGTGAAGCTGGGTGACCTGCAATCCATTAACTAAAGCTGGATACAGATTTCTTTAAATAAGCTTGATTAAAATGTAATTGAATTAGCTACATTCAAAATTAGAAAATGGGACTAAAGATCAACACTTAAAGAAGAATTTTTTTTTTTTTAATGTTGAAAAAATGAAATAAATGCATCAAGTTTTGAGCTTGTTACTTTCCGTCCTGTCTTCATGCTGCGAGCCAGCACCTCATTGGAGGAGCTGTGTTCTCTCTCAAATATTTTAAATTAAAATACCACTCCAAATAGAGATCAACTGAAAATATTGTCTACATTGGAACTGAGTAGGCTCTGCAACTGCTCATAGGTGTGCATTCTTATAAAAACAGTGAAAACACCGATTATCACTACTTACTACAACTGTTGCTGTTATATTTGATACCAAACACAGCGGTGCTGTATGAGGTGCTGAAGAAGCATTATGAGAAAAGCTGGTCACAGTGTCCATAAAACGACTTTTTTAGGAGAGGGGAAATTCCTGACCCCTGCACTCTGTCTGGCACCTGACCTGATTTTCTCAGTTCTGAAACAGCCTGATTCATAACATACATGCAATTGAAAAACAAGTGGGCACACCTGAACATTTGAACTTTCAAATGCCACACTTCACTTGTACGACATTACATTTGATTTCTGAGAAGCTGCATTAATAGTGATGGGTGCCCCACACCTGAATGATTATTATCAGAGCGTAAACCGGCTCTTATCAAGAGATCAGGAAATGGTTTGTTCACACATGCAAATGTTTTGCATAGAGTCTCAGGAGAAATCACAGATGTCACATCTGAGCTGTGTGTTGTATACATGTTGCTGTAGTGGCCTGTGAGCTTTAGGTGAATGTCGGCAATACTGTCATTTTCCTTTTCATGTTGAAGCAAATATATGTGAGGATTTATATTGTCTGTCACCAGTTGTTTCCTGTTGCAGTTGTCTGTGTTGGTTGGTCAGAGGTTACTGTCTCTTTTTATGAATAAGTGCTATTTGTTTCTCATTCTCACATTACCTTTTGTGTTGTTGCTTTCATTTCAAAGCTCACATGATCTCATGGAGTTTCACAAAAAAGTTTTGTCCTCTGTGTGCAGTCTGTGATGCCAGGAAGATGATGAACAACAGCAGTCAATGTACCTACTAAGTGTGCAAAGTGAAAAGATTACTGTAGACTTCAAAACAAGGTAAAACTAGAAAGGGATGTCAACTCATTTATCATATCTGAGAAATTTTTAAGCCACAAAAGCAATGTTTTTGTGTTTCTATAAAGTAAAAGAAAGGAAAGCTACATTTCACAGGGGAAGTATGGGTTTGTTCCAGTTTCTCTAACGCTCTTATGTAATTAATTATGTGACTGGCATTGGTGGTCAAGAGGTGGGTAGGCTATCTCATTTAATCAACAAACCCAGGACCAGAACTGGTTCAGTTCAGCTTTTTCAAACACACAATTTCTCATGTATGTTGAGGTGCTCCATCACATGTTCATGAAAGAAAGACAACATATCCCAGTAAATTCTAGATCATCAACACAACACATGAATAGTCATAAGTTCACATGTTATATCACACATACTTCAGTATTACTTTATATTATTATTATTATTATCATCACAATATTACACTAACATATATTTTATTATTGCTGAGCATTTTTGCATTAACAATTTTTGCCTTAAATCTCTTAATTACTGTTTAAAACTTAAACTTATATATCAAGACTGGGCAGTATCACATTAGGGAACTGCATCAAAAGTTCTTGTATTTAAACTGCAGCAACTTAACAATTTGTACATTTACTCTTCAGTGTGTGCGCAGTCAATGTCTGTCTCAGACTATTACAACTGTGAAGTGATGACACAATAGAGATTATTAATGAAGCCAAGGTCCAACACATTTATAAAATCACTGGCTCATTTTAGTACTAATTAAAGATTTAAATACAGTTAAATATAATAATACACTGTAGTTCATATATAAAATACAGATACAAATGCACATGCTTGGGTCTCTGTATGATACATTTACTTTTTGCAATAACTTAAATATCATTCACTGTTTTTTAGCTTTTAACAACATTTTTTGGTGTAGTCTCACTTCTATATTGTAATGCTATTAAATCATCATCATCTTATATTCTGCCATCCTTTTTACCAAGTACAAGTAGTTTTGATTCTGCAAGGAAATATTTATATTTTAGATGCTTCTTTACAATATTAAAATATCAACAACATTTAAAAGGGATTTTTATTTGAGATAATATAACTAGAAAACAATTTGGTATCTTTAATAAAGAATTTCAGTTTCAAATAATAATTACACACAAGTTTTAAAAACATTTTTATTAAAATAAATTTTAGATATGCAACAAACGTTCTTACAGATTATATACATTTTATATTTGCAGCATAAAAAAATCATTTTCTTTAATGTATAAAAAAGAAGCAAGAGGGAAAAAATACAACATATAAGCTTTGTTATAAATGTCAGACTTATATTCACACCAGTAAACCAATGCATGATATTAATGGTGCAACAGCAGTGAGGATTTTCATAGGCAACTTTATGATATACTTTTTATGAATGTTTGTATTTGCATTGAATTAACTACTGCACAAAGAATATCAGTGGACAGTCACTCATATATCAGTACTACTGTAGTATATGGTTCAGTATAAGCAGTATAAACAACATCTTCACTAATCGTATAAAACTGAGAACAAAGGAATTATATTACAAAAGCAAGTTCTGTACAGTCTGAAAATAAGGCACTGCATTCACGAAGCTTTTCTTGCCCTGTAGGCTACTGTATGTGGGTTTAATAATATTTAAACAGTGCCCAAGACAAAAATCTGCATAAATGTTGTCATTGTTGGGAAAAGCACAGCAAAAAAGCACAATATAATTTCTTAAAGGATGATAAAACAATAGCCTTAATACCTTCACAGCTAGAGCTAAGAGTGAGCCTTCTCCTCCTACCTAAGCATCTGAAGCTGAGTTCTCCCTCTAGTAGAACTCTCTGAACTGCCAGTGGTGAAAGAGGCTGAAGAGTTGTAGCTCTGCAGTACCTTTGATCTTCTTACACAGGTCTTGTACAGCATCACGGCCCGTCGTCTGAAGTGATTATCCAGAAAGACATAAATGACCGGATTCACACAGCTGTTGAGGAAGGCCAGGCAGCATGAAATGGTGAGTCCATTTTTTTGCCAGGACTGAGTCTCACAGCTCGCATCAATGTTTAAGATGTATGACATAGCTATAATAGCTTTAAAGATGTTGAAGGGGAGCCAGGACACCACAAAAGCCACTATAATGGAGAGGACCATCTTGACGGAGTGTTTGTGGCGGGCTTCGGTTCGAGGATTTGCAGCAGCAACACGGTGCTTGTTGAGATGCATGATGATGGTGCCATAGCAGAGCACAATGATTAACACAGGCATGACAAAGGTGAGTAATGCTATGGTCAGGCTCAGGCCAAGAAAAAGTAGTGAGCTTGAATCTTCCACACAGTGCAGTTTTTCACCGAACTGCTCCACTGAGCGGTACACCAAGGATGGGATGCCAAGCAGCAGGGAGCTCAACCAGACTGCAGCACAAGTGACACGAGTGTACCAGCTTCTCCTCAGGTACCTCGAATCCATCAGTTTCACCACAGCCAGGTAGCGGTCAACACTCATGCAGGTAAGAAAGAAGATGGTGGAGAAGCGGTTCACAGCAATTATGTAGCTGCTCAGCTTACACAGCAGGTTCCCAGCAGATCCGAAGTTCCAGTTGTTGCTCTGGCTGACAGAGATGGCCCACAGAGGCAGTGTGATGACAAAGATGAGGTCAGCCACAGCCAGGTTGATAATGAACGTGTCCACCAGCCGCCCACCTCTCCTATCTTTGCTGCCCAAAACTGAGATTACAAAGAGGTTGCCCAAAAACCCAGTGAAAAATATGAGGAAATACACCATGGACAGGAAGGTATTGGTCCCATGGAGGTGTGAGCTGGTACATTTCAGATCAATAATTAAGTCCTCTTGAGTAACATTCTCAGGGTAGTCATAGTAAAAAGGAAAGTCAGTGTAGGCATCCATTCTGACAGATGACAGAGACTCTGTAGCAGCTGTTGTATTGTGGCAGAGCGGTTAGTCTAAATATGTCAACATGCAGCTACTTGATATCTCAAAACCACAGAAAAAAACACAGATCCCTCTTTCAGCTCTCTTCCTTTCTCCACTCAGTGCTGACTGTGATACCTCACCCTAATGTCATGTTCATGACTTAAGACTAAATGCTGTATTTCTTTCTTCATTTGGAATAATGATGCAATTTAAAGTTTGATAAGAAATAGTGGGAAGCAGGTGGTATATGCCTAATAGGGAGCAATGCAATATTTTCATTACAGCATCTCTTATAAGTTAACAAATGAGTGTGAAATTGTGGTAGTTTGAACTCCTCATAAATCCCCTGCTGCAAATATATTGTTTATGTGGCTACTCCATAGATATTTGCCCACAAGAATTATTACATATGCAGATGAAGACTTAAGGAGTTTTTTCCCCTTTCTTTGTGTATTAGGTGTGCTTTGCCAGTAGGGGGCAGTTATGATTTACTTGTGTTTTACATGTATTGACCTCCTTCCTAAATTCTCTTTTGTTTCTGAGCAAATATCATTGATCTCCCAGAAAAAAAACAAAAAAGTGTTTGCTTCAGCGAGAACTACCTTCTCATTAGTGTAAACATGTTTACGTTTCAAGCCAGGCAGGAGCAGACTTATGAGTTATGAAATCACATTTTTTTGTATCAAATCTATTATATTTGCAGTCTACTAATCTCTGCTCCATTTTGTCAATATAAATCTGGTTTAATCAGCTTTCAAACTACTTTGTACTTGTATGTTCAAGTCATATTGTGTGTAATATGCAGTAAATATGCAGTGTGCTAAGCAATTGTAAATGAACTTTCGTTTGTAATCCATGCTGAACTTTTTGTTTCATTTTGCAGTTGTAGTATTTGTTAAGAAATGTGAAAAGTGACACATAAGTAAGTTAACCCCTAGGAATTCAATGTTGTATTAGATTATAGGTTAATATCACAATTAACACAGTTTTTATTAACATCGGAATTCATTAAATTTGTGATGTACTAATGAAAAAAATCACAGTGAGTTAGTTCACTGGTTTCAAAACAAGAGTAAATCATAATACATGTAATTATCATAATAATTGGGCTGTTATTAAATGGATTTTGTGGTAAAATTGTTCTGTCAACTACTGTTTTCAAAATCAAGACGAGCATCTGGGACTTAACTTATTGTAAGGTTTAAAAAAAATTAAGCAATTATCTAAAATTCAGATGTCTTTTCCAGTTACATTCGCTACTAACTGATTTCATGAGACCACCGACCAGGTCCACAGAAAAAGATTAGATGTAAACTGATTTAGTTTAATCTTTGCCAGTCAGACTGCATTCACTCTATTAGTTGTTGTAGAGGCCAAGCTCAGCACTGTCTCAGCAGGTCCCCAGGGTTTATCGTAACTACAGTAGTAGTCATCAGTTGAAGGGTACACTTCTTTTTGATTTGCACAATGGGTCAGGGCTTATTTATCCACCTAATAGTATATTTTTACTAATGTTGTTTTTAGACAGCATGCATCTATTGCATGTCTGTCTGAATTCCTCCTTTGTTCCCATTAAGGGATATTTTTATGGAGAATTTTCCTTATCCAAACTATCCCAACTGAGAGTAAAGGGTAAAGGTTGTCATACTGTATGTTGTCTAAATTGTACCTCAGAAGAACTAAGATAACAAAAGTATGATGCATACAGTACACTGCACCTCGAATATCCTGTGTGCAGTTAGTGGTGAAGTCATGTTCTGATTAAGTTGTTTTTCTTAACCAGCTGCCTGGCATGTACGATAAAACCCCTTACCACCACGGAAACCAAGTTGAAGCAACCTGAAACTGCATGACACAGCTACAGAGCAGAACAGCGTCTTGGCTTTATTATACTGGTGCCAGTCTTGATCATATGATTTGACGCTTTTCCTGAGCTGTAAGGGCATTTATCAGACTTTGTTCCATTTCTAATTGGTTCTCGGTGAGCCATAATACAAACTAACCGGGTTGGAAATTCTTTGTCAGCAACTGCCATTGTTATAGAGAAGGAAACTGTCATTAGGACTAACTCCTCAAGACATAATGGACCTCCAAAGAAATAAACTCCGTGGTCCTCCTGCTCACAGCTATTGTACTGGGGCCAGGAACAGTGAGGCCGGATGACAGGCCACATCTTACAAGAGGCTGGAGAATGCGTCATTGTTGTGCAAGGAGTTTCACTTAAGAATGAATGACCTTCTAGGATCCCTGCTCCATTTTCTTGTAGTGGGCGTTATTCCAACCCCCCTTTACTTTGTAGTGTCACTGTGATGTGAGGATATAGTCATCACAGCAGAAAATCCTGCCAGTCCTCAGTGTTTGTTTTGATGTTGTTTTCCCTCATGCTCAGCTGTACCTTTTCCTCGATAAAGTTTTCATTATTTCTTGTGCATTCCTACTGCTCTGTCAGTGGAGCGCTACATTCCTCTTCTCGAATAAGTGCTGTCTCACTCCAATTGAGCAGACTAAATGTGAGAGCCAGTGAATGGAGTAGCTTCAATAGGAGAAAATAAACAATTGCATTGGTCCATGGGTGCAGCAGGGGACAGCAGATGAGAAGAAGGGAGAAAAGCCTCCTTAATGTGCTAAGATTCCCATGGATACTTAGTCCTTTTTCTGTTTAGAAGAGGATCTCGTAAAGTACTTCAACAGTGGATGATTTCTCTTTTCCTTTTACCCTGTTTTTATTTGAGGAGGGAGAGTGGTATGTGTCAGGGTGATTGTTAGACATGGGGGGCAGCAGGGTCACATGCACACACGTGTGCACTCGTACTCACACACACACACACACACGTACAATTTGCTCCTCACTTGTCAAACGCTAAGTTTCAGAAAAGAAGTTGATTGTTTGGGTGTGAAAGGTTCTTGTTTTAGTTGTTTAACTGAATCAAGAGTTCCTCGAGCACAAGGCACTGCACAGTCTTGGTCCTCCATTATGTGTTTTTTTAAGTGGCCACAGACTTTTAACTGTTGCCTGTTGTCAAAAAAAAAAACTTTCCTCATGCTCCTTGCTTGATTTCTCCCTGATGTCCTCTTCATCTATGTACAAACCACATAATCCAATAAATATGAGTAACATGTTAATGCTCATACCATGATAAGACACATCAGGGAATTCGGGGAGTTAAAGAATGATTTGTTTCCTTAGATGCATAAACACCAGGTTATTAAGGATATAGAAAAAAATGCATGTATGTGTGCTAGCTGCCTGAACAAAACTCAAAAACTATGATTTTACTAAATGGTCAACAGGTCTAGAAAGTAGATGTTAAGTGGATTCCAAGATGTTTGGTGGACACTGTTTTCGTTTCAGTAAAAGCCAAAAAATACTAAGTTGATATTCAAGTGATAATGCCCACCTGTGAGCATAGGCACGGGCAGATTATGAGAATATGGGCCACTGGGCACAGACAGGTTAAAGGCCCCCCACCCCTTGTATATAGGTCCATCAGTCATTTTATGCATTTTCATACTTGTTGTGCATCTCTTTATGAAAATATAGCATCTAATTTTGATGATGTTGTGTTTCTTTATGGTCATTTTTGACTGTGTAGTTGTTTGGGGCCTTTTTGGGTTGGTTTTGCATAGTCTCTCTTTGTGATAATTTGGAGTCTGTCTGTGGTAGTTTTACATCTGTTTGTGTTTTAATTGAGTTCTATGGTTCTCTGACAAGGAATAACCTATTAACAGTCACTTCATATAGAACCAGGCCCCCTGACCTCTTGGGCCCCTGGGCCTGCGCCCAATAGGCTCGTTCTGTAGTCCATCTGTAGAAATTATGACTCTGTCCGTCTGAAGCGAGCAAAGGAATAAATAGTGTCACATTGTTACAGAGCCACAAAGTCTGCAAAGGGGGAGGGAGGTCTGGGGGGTTAATAAAACATCAGTCTTTAATATATGAAACTGCTGTTAGGTGCAGGTTCCTGCCGACAGTCAGTATGGTTTGTTTTAACTACAACTGCGACTGGTTTCTAATATTAACCACAATTATTTCAGTCAAAAATCATCACCAACCAAACTTCAACCATAGTGGCCTAGATCAGACAACAGGTTTAGTTTAGAAACAGTGATTTACAGTGCTTCGTGGAAGGCGCTGAGATTGATGCTTTCCTACCAGTAGTGGTGTCAATCAGAAACATTCAGAGTCACTCTGGACTAAAAACAACCTATTTATTTGGTCATTTACTTCTTTAGTGTTTGCAGTTGTCTTTTATAAAACATGGTTACAAGGAAGTTGTTAGTTGGTTGATGTCAGTTGCTGAAGTCTTAATAGGTTGTTACTATGGTGATATGGTTGTTGCTAGGGATTTGCTAGGCAGGTGCTGGTTTGCGATGTGGACTGGGGCCTTTAAGAGTGAAAACTGTGAGACCAACTTAAGATGCATTTGTGTTGTTTAGAAAACAGAAAGAGCTGAACTCGTTTGAGTTCCAGGTATGTGTCGACATAAAGTGTGTTTAATAAGCAGTCCACATTTTAACTGGTAAAAAACATGAGCTGATATTGAACCAACTGCAAAGCTGCATGTTTCACATGGATTTTCTTTTCCAATTTACTATTTTTTTTATATTTAAGGTACATAATAGATGAAAATCTCCATATAATATCTTTCTGGTGTTCACTCTAAAGCATATTTTGTCCTTCTACTGAGGTAGGGCATGATGGCTGGGCACCTCTTTTGCTTTTGTGCATGCTTACATCTACTTTTATTACAGATAATGGATATCACATTGAAGACTAAATCTTTAAATGTTAAATGTTGCACAATACAAAAAAAGACTCAACAGACTCAAGTGAAGATATGAGAGGTAGCTGTTTTTCTGTACTAGAAATGATGACTCCTGTCCACATAAGCTGAACCACAACAAGATCGGATCTAGTTGAGTAACTGAAAGCATGCAAAGTGACTTTGATCTGCTTGTTTTTGGCCTCAGAG